CGTGAAAGCAGGAAGGGCTGGAGGGCAGGTGACCCCAGAGCAGATTCCCCTGTGCCACCCCGATTCCCACGCTGGGGTACCAACAGCCTGTACTTTTTATGAGTTCCAGATAACCCTGATGTCTGGAGAGTTACGAGTCACCGCCAGGCCCTGACTGTCCCATGCAGCAGCCGGCCTTGCACCCTGGGATGAAGGCCAGTGCCATGTGGCCAGATCGAAGCAGCCACGAACTGGGAGCAAGGACCATGTCCATTGGCTGACACACGCCGAGTGACCTGTGGCCAGGGCCATGACAAGTGCACACCCACGTGAGGCTGCTGCTGTGTAGTCCCAGCTGGCACTGTCTGCAGCTGCTTCTCACCTCAGCAGCCACCTTTCTGTCCCTGTGGTTCCCTGTCCTGGCTCCCATCCCTTTCCCTGCAGAACACCAGGCCTCAGCCCAGCAGCCCCTGAACCCCTCTGTGGCTCTAAGTTTCTGTAAAAATTCAGTGCTTCTGATCTCAGTGTACCCGAGGGAATTGGACATCCAGGAATCGCATATTACAGGGGCTCGTGTGCACTGTGTTCCACTGGAGCTCACCATCCCTGGGGCCAGGCTCCCGAACTGCAGGCACAAAGTCGAAGGAGAGTGCAGCCAGCAGCCATGGCCGCTTTGAGGGAGCCTGCTCAGCTCTGCGTGGCTCTGACCCTGTGGCATCCAGGGTGACCCCCAAGTGAATGTGCCAGAAATCTGACTGCTACACTGGCCAGAATGGTCACGGTCCCAGAAGACACCATTTCAAAAACGGTGGCCCTGAATGTTGAAATCCTGAAAACCGAAATTCTACTAAAAAACCCCAAACCTCCCTGTTGTATCTGGGATCATCTTTCAGGAATCCTGGCCAGATCCTCCCTTGGGCTCCCCCGAGGAGGCAGTGCACACCTTTCTCTGGCTCCAGCTTTGCAGTAGGGGTCGGCCTGGCCGCGGCTTGCTCTGCCTGGGGTTCTGCATTGGTTTTGCATCCCAGAGCAGCTGTATTCAAATCCTTCTGTTCCCAGAGTGAGTCTAGGCGTGTCTCTGACAAGGTCCCCATTTTTTTCTGCCTAAGACAAATTATTTAACTAACAAAATGATTGTTTCTATGTAGTAGGAAAGTCCTTCAATGGCTCCGTCAACGAGTCCTTCAGGATTCACAGCTCATCTCCTCAGCTGAGGCTCTGCTCCTCTGGGGGAAGGTGGTGGTCAGGCCGCAACTCAGGGGCGCCTTCTACCAAGTGTGGGTCGGGTTTCACACAGAGGCTAAGCGAAGGGGCCCCTGGGAAACGTGGAGAAAACCACACAGCTTTTCTATGGAATCCAGAGACAGACGTGGACTGATTTCCGTCAGTTCACTCATTACCCAGTGGGGTACTTACTATGTAGTTTTTGGGGGGTGGCTGGCAATTGAACCCAGGACCTCACACTTCTGCCACTGAGCTACATCCCAGCCCTGTTTTACTGCTGTTGATAGTTGGAGCCTTGGGGTATAATTATAGTAATGGTCAGGATGAGTCTTTTAATCAGTGAACTTTGGACTCATGCAAACTGTCATCCTCCATTAACAGGAAATGACTTCAGCAGCAACGAACCCTTTGAGCTCAACCCTTGGCTCCTCAGAGGAACACTTCGCTGAGAACTACTTGCTGCTTTTATTTCTACATGATCCTTTGTGGGGACGCAGCCTCCCCTGGGGCTCAATTACAGTTTTACACCACACATTTTGCCTGGAAAAGCACAATGAGCCGCCTGTACAGGGCTCTATCTGCACTGCACAGAAATGTAGCCCATACATTTTTTTTGGGGGGGTACCGAGGATCAAACTCGGGACCTTGTGCTTGCGAGGCAGGCAGCAGAACCACTGAGCTAAATCCCCGGCCCCCCATACATTTTTTGAAACCAGAAACTGTGTGTTATTTTGAAAGATGATTTGTAGGAGCCAGGATCATAATCATAGGATGCGTTGGGAAGGAGCTACTAAAAGTGACAGCATACAACAGGCCTTGAAATCTCTGTTTGTCTGCTATACCCACTCTAAAATAACTGCAATAAAAGGATGGGAAAATGTAGAAATATCCTACTCATTAAGCCACATGCCCTTAGGCTTCAACTGAACATGTTTAAGTAGAAAGAATAATACCCATTGTATCAGTCAGCTTTCCTGTTGCTGGCACACAATATCTGACACCCACAATTTAAAGGAGGAAAGGTTCAACTTGGCTCACAGTTTCAAGGGGTTGAGTCCATGGTCAGCTGGCTCTAAGGTAGGAACATCGTGGTGGGAGGGAGTGGCTAAGCAAAAATGCTTAGTTTGTGGTGGCTGGTAAGCCGAGCAGGGGAACCATACAAGAGAGGAAGTGAGGACCTACATCAACTCTAAGGCTGTGCCCCACTCAGACACCCTCAGGAATCTGCTCCACCTTTCCCCAGGTGGATCCCAAAGCCAATCAAGCTGACACTGCCCTCACCACCCCCACGCTCATTAATAACTGATAGTTACACTGTAGTTACAAGGGCTCTTCAGGAAAGAGTATCCGTGGTTACTAGAAAGAGCTACACATTTATGCTGGACGTGCTATCTGGGAAATTAGAAATTCTTGCTGCTCCAAAGCCAGGCTGTCAAACTGGACACAGTCACTTCCACTTCTCCAGGGATATGCCCGGAGCCTGCAGCCTTGCCAGGGATGAGCTCAGGGACAAAGGCTGCACCATTTATACAGCAAAACTGGTGACAAGCAATGCAATTTAAACTCTGTCCGCAAAACAGAGCCATTGGAAAGAGGCGTGCACTCCAGAGTTCTTTCCCGTGGGATCTCGAAACTATCTGAAGTGTTCTGAAGGGGTCTCCCACCGAGCAGAGTTGGAGCCAGCCAGGGTCCCCATTACCAGATCTGTCAGGGCCCGGGTCTCTCCCTTAGCAAATCCCCATTATGATTAAAGACCGGCTGTGCTTCAGTTCTCTTTGGCTGCAGACTGGCTTCCTCACTACAGTCTGGAATAGAGAACCTGTCAGTGTTGGTGAAGAAACACCCGTCCTCTTGTGGGCACTGTGGGCACTGCAGGCACGGCTTCCATTGGCACCGAGGCTGAGCTCAGAGCGCGGTAGGAACGGGGTCACCTCCGGCCCAGGCGTTTGGGGGGACTCGGCACAGAGCGGCATGGACACTGACCGCCCCAGCGAAGTTTTGTTCCATTTAATCTCTCGTTCTGTCACATGTGTAAAATACACAATTTCCTATCAAGGTTTGTTTGTAATTTTTTTTTTCAGGGCTGAGGCTCAAACCCAGAGGCTTTGCCCTGAGCTATACCTGGCCCCTCGCCCCTTTTTAAATCTTTTTCTTTTTCCAAGATTTTTATTTAATTTTATGTGTGACTCTTTGGCAGATTCATCCATGCACGTTTGTTAATCATTTCCCAGCCATCACCCCACTAGCCCAAGGCCCCCACGTCACTTTTTTTGGTTCCACTGTGTACACTGCATCGAGTGATGCCCATTCCCCACCACCTGCCCTCACTCCACTCCCCGTTCCTCTTCCTCCTGTCCAGTACCAGTCTCCCTTCTACTTTCCTGTCAGCCTTTTAGATTCCACGTTAAGGATGACCGTGTGATATCTGTCCTTGAGTCCAGCTGATTTTGCTCAACATGATCTCCAGATCCATCCCACTTTTTGTGCAAATGAAAAAATTTTGTTCTTTTTATGGCTGCATAATACTCCATTGTGTAAATATACCACATTTTCTTTATCCATCCGCTTCTTGGTGAGCATGTAGCCTGGTTCCATATCTTGCTCAGCCCTTCTTTTTCTTTGAGCCAGGGTCTAAGTCACTTAAGTTGCCCGGGCTGGAGTCAAACTTGGGATCTCCCTGCCTCAGCCTCCCAGAATTCTGGAATTACAGGCATGTTCCACTGTGCCCAACTCTGTAAGGAATTTTTATTGGTATTTAGATACCAACTAGGCTTACATTTTAAAAACATGTATCTCACAATATCCGTTCTTAAGTTTAGAAGATGTATTTCAATTGCTATGACCCACACATAGCCTAAAATGCGCCGAGCCATTTCCGAGCAGGCAGCTCAGTGGTGCTGGGCAGCATCGCCGACATATGGCTGTGTCCTACTGTCCCCCTCGTTGCTGAAACAGACCCACCACTTAGAGGAGCGGAGGTTTGTCCTGGCTCGCAGTCTGCAGAGGTTTCAGGCCGCCATCGGCTGGGTCCACACAGGAGGGCACGGCCGGGGCGGGCTGCTCGGGGCAGGCAGGGAGAGCAGGAAGCAGAGCACAGTTAAGGGGTCAGGGAAGGAGTTGGCTCACCGTGACTGCCTCTCCCAACTGGACCCGACTCCCATCAGCAGGTGGGCTCAGCACCCCGCTCACAGTCCAATCGCCGTTCCTAAATCCCACCTTTGAGCTCACCTGGCGGGGAGGGCGTCCTCATCCACCTCTCGAACACTTTTACTCTTGCAAAACTACAATGGTCCGCATTCAACCCTAACTCCCCATTCCCCCTTTCCAGGCCTTAGAACCACGACTGTACTGACTATCTCTATGAATCTGACTGCCCTAGAGACTTCATGTTGAGTAGAATTGTATGGCGCTAGTCCTTTCAGGACTGGCAGGATATTGTCAAGTTTCCTCCATGCTGGAGCGTGATTTCCACTCTTTTTTAAGGCTGCATAATATTCCACTGTGAGTACAAACCACAGCTTGTTTACTCACCCACAGATGGAATCTGAGCTGCTTCCACCTTTTGGCTGCTGTGAATAATGCTGCCAAGAACAGGGGTGTGCAAGTATCTTTTTGAAGCTGTGACTTCCATTCTTTAGGTATAAGCCCAGAAATGTTGGATCCCATGGGAATTCTATTTTAAATTTTAAAGAACTATCATATTGCTTTGTACTGGAGCTGTTCTAGGTTCAGTTTCTCCTCACTAGACAAAGAACACATTTTTAAAGACCATCATTCACACAGAACAAAGGCAGCAATTTTAAGCCATTTCATTTTATTGAGTCATGCAAAACATTTTTAAACAACAAAAGGAACTATCGCGAAAATTCAGACAGTCACAACAATATCATACACCAGACCGCAGGATTTAAGTCTTATGCTATGAAGTGAATTAATCTGGAGCACAGAGAGAATACACAATGCCCTTTTGGCTGGGAAATTATTTCCACATGTTCACATTATACAGTGTTTCTGAACTTGGGATATTTTTAACAAGAGACCAACATGTGAAGAATTTGAATTTAGGGTAATTTTGAAATACAGGGGTGTCAGAAGGTTTACAGCAAAAGTGTTGTAAACAGAGAGGGGCCCCTGGCTCTGTGCAGACTGGCCCTGGTTGATTTCAGGTGACAAGCAGGCTCTGCCCGTGCTGCCTGCAGGGAGTCGGATCCAACTGAACGTCCTGTACCGCTGGGGGTCCGAGTCCCTATTCCTCCCAGGGACTCATTTTTAATATCAGATCTTTATGTTTCTCCTCCCTTTGCCAACTATCTTAAAAATACAAAAAAGGTAGTGGGTTACAGACTGAAATAGTAATAAAAAATAATGGAATATAACCAGGGGCAATTTCTTAACTGCCAAAAACACAATTAAAAGAGAATACAACATCAAAGTTGAACCTTCCTCCTACATGACAGTAAAAACATAACTCATGACTTCGTAGTCTAGTTTTTCACTTTTACTGTTTTAAAAATAACATTAAAATCATTTGAATTTAGAACTAATTAAAAGCTTTATGGTAGCTTTAAATTTAATGGAAAATTCATTTGTATGAAAAAGGAATAAAATTAGTCTTTTAATGTACAAAAACCAAAGTATTAGAAATGTCTCAGGTGTGTATAATTGAAAGTAAAAGTTTTCCAGCCCTGGCTGTCTGCTGAAGCACAGCCGGTTTGATCTGCTCTAGAAATAATTACTACCCAAAATGATCACCATTCACTGGGGCCGCCTTTGTCAGTATGAAGTGAATGAATTCATAGGTGTGAGGTGTGAAGTCTTTTCTACAACATCTGCAATCTTTTTCGGAACTAGCTAGCCTCCAATGGGCAAACGATCCTTCCTATACACTACTGCACACTTTGGGAAAACCATGACTGGTACTGTCATGAACCTGTTACAAAGAAGCTAAAATATTTTGTAACTTGTTTGAAGAATTAAAGGCTATTGAAACGAATCCCTGTCACTTAACCATCATGTTGAAGATCATCTCGCAGCTCAAGTCTCCTTCTGGGATCCCACTTCCGGCTGTGGCTTCTCCATGGTCAATGGGAGCCGCTTCGCCCGGGAGCTGTCCCTCCTTCAGGGTGGCTTCTTGGGAAAAAGACACAACAGGAGCCAATTTAGAAAAAAGTGAAAAAAGAGAAAGAAATTGGATCAGGGAGTCCCTGTCGGGCACTGCAGGACAAGAGCACCCCCTCTTCAGGCGCGACAACCAAACCTGTCCCCAGACTGGGCCACCTGCGTGTGGCAATGGCTCCCAGCCACAAAGCACTGCATGAGTGGGATCCAAGTGTGCTGGGCCCACCTGGCGGCCGAGCTGCTCACCCTGTCTTACTTCGGTACCTACAGAGACACGGTGCTGCGATGAAAAGAGCCAGTTGCTGCCTGACACTTGTGCCTTCCGTCAGCAACACAGACCAGCACTCACTCTGGGTCGAGCGTCCCGCTAGGCACATGCTGACCTGGCTCCCACTTGCTCACTGCCAGCAGCTCGCCAAGCAGTCAGTACAATGTACAGAGTTTAAAACAGATGCTGTGCCCACCCGCATCCGACTTGCCACTCATTTCTCCAAATCATTTCCCGAGAACACTGTGGAACCGCACACTTGAGAATGCGGTCACTCAGGTGAGCTCAGCGCGGCTGGAAGAATTTCTGCCTGTGCTTTTCTACGCTCGTGGGAGGGGGAAAACCCAGTTCTTATGAATGAACACAAACACTTCCATTCAGAAGGACAGAGGCCGCTGGCAGGGCAGTGACTGGTAGAGCTCCGTGTAAGGACTAGCGAGGCGAAGATGCCCAGGGGAGAGGGAGACAAAGCTCTGGGTCGCTGAGGTCACTGACGCCTTGACGTGCAGAAGAACAAAGTGTGCTTTTCTGCCAACACTGGCCAGGCTCCTTGCTGAATTCGCACGCTGCCTGGGACACCATGGAGGCCGTGTGAACAGGAGGTGTTCGCAGTTCACCCAGGCAGGTGCCTTCTCATCCCCGCCCTCTGGAATGTGAGTTTCCGAGCCAGCAGCATGCTGGGCGCTGGGCACAACCTGGCCGGTGACGTTCCCAGGTCAACTGGGTCAGAGGGCAGGAAAAATTCACGGAGACCACTTTAAAACTTCGCTCTCCAATCTCAGTCCAGTCTCCAGGACCCCGCCAGGAGCTCAGCCCAACTCCAACAAGGAAGCCGCTTGAGGGACATGGGAGCGGGCTGGGGGAGGGATGTTTTCCTGTCCTCAGCTCCACAACGTCCCCAACTGTCAGAAGCTGTCCCAAACCATTCAGCCTACCAGGGAAGGCTGCTCTTAAGGTTTTACCAGATAATTACAAAACACAACACCACATTTAGGCGCGGAGAGCGGAGAGCAGTGGAAGTGTCCTTTAGGCACTGGGCTATGTGGGCAGGCGCGCACCGCAGGTAGGAGGACAGGACTGAGGACTGATGCACAGGCGGTGGGCGGGGCGGGCAGGTCCTGTGGGCCTCTCGGGTCCTGGTCTTCGGAACTCAGGGTGGCCAAGGAAGAGGCTGTTGGTGGTGGCAAGGTGGGAGGAGTGGGTGTGGCACTTGAAAGGCTTCTTCCTGGCTCCTAGGACACTGGCTGACTGAGGGACAGGAGCGGAGGCGGAGGCGAGGCCAGGGGAGCGCAGGGACAGAAGGCAGAAGGCAGAGGAGGAGTGGCTGAGAGGAGGGCCCAAGTCAGGGGCTCGGGGTGAGTCAAGACCAGCACCGGAACCAGGAGGAACAGACAGCAAGCAGAGCGTTTATTTTCCTTGGGAAAGTTTAGGTCAAGGGACAAGCCAGGAGTCTGAGAGGAGGAGAAGAGGCATTCAAGGGCCCTGTGGTTGTAAAGGCGAGTCCGAGCTAGGCTGGACTCGGCTTTGTCTGCTTTGGGCCACAGTGGGCAGCACTGAGCCCCTGATGAGGAGCCCAGGACCAGGGTGAGGACAGCAGGACACTGGTGGACCCCACAGAGCAGCAAGCGGAGGGCCCCCTGCTGCGGAAGAGGTTGGAGGCCCCAGCACCGCTAGAGGAGAGGCAGGAAGCGGAAGTCGGGAGGGATGCTTGCTGGAGACCAATGGTGAGGGCTGCACTGAGCCTGCAGGATGGGGTGCTGTGTCCCCCGCCACTCAGCTGTGTCCTTTTAATGTGGCATGACCGCCACAGCACAGGGCTGCAGTCAGCACAGAGGAGGATGCAGAGGAACCCTCGGGACCAAGAGAAGAGGGCGCTCTAGAGACCAGAAGTGGGACGGGCCCTGACAGGGACCCCTCCGTCTCTCCCCAGCTCCCCTGCCAGGAGGGTGAGACTCCAGCAAGGGCAGGGGCTCTGCGTGCTGGCAGTGGGAGGGAGGAAGCTTCTATGCACACGGTGGTGGGGTGCTGAGGCACACCTGCCTCAATTCCTGTCTCAGGTAAGCGGCGGGGCACTGTCCAGTGTATCCCGGCAGTGAGGGCCATGCTGATGCGGAGCAGGTGCCCGTCATTTGCAGTTCAAATGTTCAGGGCACCCACCCTCCACCTAAGCTTGAAATCCGAGGGAAGGAAGGGACGACACTACTGTGGGAATAACTGCAGGTCAAGGGTGGAGGGTGGAATGAAGACAGACACGGGGAGCCTCGCGGGGGCGCTTCTGCTGTAAGCTGGTCTAGTTCCCAGGCATTTCCCCCAGGAAGAGACTGGAGAAGTGAGACATCCGCACGGGGCAGGCCCTGGGTGGCTGGGCAGAGCCCCTCCCAGGTACATGGGACGCGGCCCTCGGCCAACCCTGACCGATCTCGGGCTCACCAGGCCAGAGAACAAAGACTGGTGCCTGCAGTGGGCAGGATGGAGTCCCTACAGGGTATGGCCCTGTGACATGCCCTGACGTGGAAAAAGGGTCTTCACAGACAGAATGAGGGGCCAGATTTGGGGATAAGGCCATCGGGGATTTCCCAGACTGAGCCTCCACCCAAAGATTAGTGTCATCAAGGGGGAGACACAGAGAGGAGGGAGCAGCCACGTGAGGAGGAGGCAGGGGTCAGAGCGACAAGGCCACATAGCAGCCCCGGAAGAGAGTGGACCCATTAGCCCTGTGGGGAGCTCGGGGAGGCACAGCCTCTGCTGCCCTCAGCCAGGCACTCACCGCGTTTGTTTGCTGCAGCTGCTGCAGGCAACCGCCCAGCGCACTGGGGAGCCTGGAGGAGCAGCACAGCGCCTGTCCTGGCCACACTAGCATGGCTCCAGGATCCAGGATGGGGCTGCACCCTTGGCTTCCCACTGACTCCCCTTTGTCCCCACTGGGGCCCAAGAGGGCGCTAAGGACCTCTGTGTTCTCTGGGCAGCAAACCCGGCTGATGTAGCCCGAGGCAGCAAGTAGCTGCCCCACCAAAGCCTTCCCAGTGTGGCGCACAGGGGCCTCCCGCTGACTGCGGGACACGCAGGGTTTCTGGCCCTGTCCCCTCCCACTAACCTCCGGGCCCAGGAAAACTGACCGCAAGAAAATCCCTGTCAAACAAATCCGTTTAAAATGCAGTACCGTCACCCTCCCCTGCGTCTCCGGGGGCTTCCTGTTTCCTCTCCATCCGCCTTCCTTTTCCTGAAGTAGCCGAGGTCTCCTGGGCCGACTGACACTTCTCCGAGTGTCTGTGCATGCTGCTCTGTGGGGGGAGACGACACGGGACACACACGGTCACAGACAGGTGTCAGGAAAACGGTGGGCGACCCGCACCGGCCAGGATCTCGCGCAAAGACGACATTTTCAAGGCGACCCTTCCCATTATATTTAGGTCTAGCCAAGAGCGAGCTGGTTTTATTTTGAAGAATAGAAGTCAATGAGAACACCAAATTCAGTTTTCTAGAGCGCTCCTATTCTCTAACGTGAAAACTGAGGCTAAACCGGAAGCTTGGCACTGGAGTCGATATCACGGCTGAGAGACGCTGTGCAGCTCGGATGGAGCCCCTCTCTGGAGCGCACTGACTACGGAAGACACAGGCGGGCACTTTTGAAACTCCACACAACATTCAGATCTAGGACATCGAAGATCTCCTAGTCACGCCTGTCAGTGACACCTTCTTATTAATGAACACTTACGGTAATTTAAGATCAGCTAGGAAATTTTCACTATTTGTAAAGTTCACATGCACAAGTGAAAACCCAGCTGTGTGTGTCTGAATATGCTGATTATACCCAGCACCCCACTTAACTGCACTCTGACCTGGCCCCGTGCTTTGCACAACCGTCCGGGTTTATGGGCAAAGAGTGGGGCTGATGGGAGCGGGAGAGGTGGTCACTGGTCACCTAAACTCCCACTGGGCTACGGAGTTGGCAAACTGTGGCAGAGAGCCACCGGCCTTCCTGTCTCCTTGGGGCCCAGCCGGCCAGTCCGTCCATCTTCAGGGGCTCTGGTGGACGGTGGCATATGGAAGCTGCTGAGAAGGCTGACTCTCGGGCCCTTCATGGGAAGGGTTTGCCAGCCCCCGACCCACATCACACCTGTGTGTCAGCCTCGTGCTCTGGAGAGCCAAGGACTCCTGGAGAGCGAGGAAAGCAGTGGTTCCTCCTCCTCTCTAGAAGCACACAAACCAGCACACGACCCACCGGTGGCACCAGGGAGCTCGGGGCTGAGAAATGCTGACACCAGCTCTGTATCAATGCACACGCACACGTGTGCACACGCACTTCAGCCTTCAGCACCCATATTCCGGCTGGACTCAGGGTATACAAATGTGACAGGTCCCCGTGCCAAAAGAAACCCTATTCCAGAGAGGATGGGCTCCACCCCAATCCCCGACCGGGTTCCCACTGGGCAGGACAGGGTCTGGCTTTGTGCCGCTCCAGTGCAAAACCAGGCTGGGACTGGTGCATGTTAATGGACAGAAACCTGAATAACGTACTTGTTAACAATCAGGTTGGATTCCAGTGGATAGCTATGCTTCATCTCCTAACAGCTTTGTGGAGATATAACTCACATACTATGCAATTCATCCATGTAAGAGGTATGGTTTTTAGTATGTTTACAGAATTGGGGAGGCAGTATTGCAACGGGTTTTAGAACATTTTTCTCTCCTCAAAGAACTCCATACCCACTAGTAGCCATACCCCATCTTGGCAGCCACTAATCTACTTTGTGTCACCATGAATTTGCCTGTCCTGTCACTAAGTGGATCATGTGACATATGCTTTCTGTGGCCCTTTTCACAGCTGGGTAATATTCCACTGCAAGAAGAGGCTGTGTGTAACCTAGCTGTCCACATGACTAGTGCTGCTATGAACATTCCTGTATGCAATTTCCTGTGTTTGTGGGTGTTCAGTTCTTTGGGGTGTGTATCTAGGTCGGCACTGCTGGGTCCCATGGTGACTCCAAGGTTAACTCTTTTGATGACGACTTCACTAGGTTAATCCTACCTGCAGCACACAAGGGCCTCAGCTCCCTGCCTCCACCCTCCCATGACTGCTTGCTCTTCCATGGTTTGGGTATGTATTTTCCCAGTCACCAAGGAATGCGGTTATCTCCTCCTGGACTTACTGATTTCTCTGGCTTCTTGAAAGAAACATCTGGATAGATATTTTTAATTGGGTTTTGTCCATTTTTAATTGGGTAATTGTCTTTCTAGATATGGGCCCAGATGTGCCTAGGACACTAAGTTAGACAGAAATTAACAGGCAGTCAAACAGGGCTGGGCCCTGGAGGGGCTCGGTACAGAGGATGAGAACCCATCACAACTATGGCGGGAGGCACCTCTGAAGGAGGCCAAGCCTCAAGATTAAAGTCACAGTGGCCAGACTTGCACATTTCCCTAAGGGATGAGTGGAGATTTGAGATTCTGCTGTAACTGGTACCACCCAGACAGACATCAGTCACCCAGGTGGGGGACCAGAGTATCCGGACCCATCCCTTCCCCCAAATGCCTTGGTTCTTTCCATGCACCCTTACTATGTAACCCGCTTCCCTAGTGGATCAATATTAGCTAAGTGGCTATCCTTGTCATCTTATTGGTCGATTACGGTTTGACCCGTCTTATAGTCACCTTGTGATTTTGCTCTAGGAAATAATCTTAGAGAAATGACCTCGGTGGCAGGTCACCTTCAGGTTCCTTCCTGTCTCTCAGGAGCTCTCTCTCAATAAATCTTCCTCACTCTTAACTTCCACTGTTCCTCAGAATTCATTCTTCAATTTTGGGGGACACAAACTCAGCATAACTGACGCCTAGCAGGTTAGGAACTATATTTTCTCCTATATCCTGCTTTCTTGAATGGAAGAAAAAGTTTCAAGACTGTTCTGAGGGACAGTGCAACACGGACTCAATCTCTGCTTTCCTGCATCTTGCTCAGAAGGGCAGTTTCTACGCAAGAGTTCTACTCTTAGGTGAGGCCAGCTTGCTGTGGTAGCTCTGGACCGCTGTTGCCACTTTGATATGAAATCTCATGAAGAGGGTTAATATTCCAGAGCTCTAGCGTCTGAGTGGTTTTACAATGTTTACCAACTCACTGACACTCCTGCTTTCAAAAAGGACTTCATTCCCCAGTGAGCAGGTGCTGGCCTTGGGATTCTTTCTAATCTAATTAATGTTGTGCCACTTTTAGGACCAGACGGCAGGGGGCGCAACACCTCCTCCTGCCACTTGCTCTTAGCTGTGGGGACGTCAGGGCCCTGTGCAGAGGGCCGAGGCAGGGACAGAGGCCTCACGCCCACAGTCATGGGGAACCAGCTCTGCTGCCCCCTGGCCTGAAGCCTCGTGACGCCCATGCAAGAAGCACCCAGCTAAGTCGTTCCTGACCCAGACCCATGGAAATCGGGAGAGGACAAATGCCTATGGTTTTAAGCTGCTAAATTCTGAGGTAATTTATCATTTCGGTTTAGATTTAGAATGACCCCTTCCCAAGGGCTCAGATGTCCCAAGGCTGAGCTTTTGGAAAGTGATGGGATCCTGGGGCCCGATACGCAGGAGTGGGCAAATCCACTGCTGAATCCACAGCGCCTGGAATGAGGTGGGCCTGGTCAGAAGAGGAGGCCGTGGGGTTGTGGCCTGAGCGTGCATCTCCCTCCCCATTCCTTCCTTTTCCCTCTGCTTCCTGGTTGCCACAGGATGAGCAGCTGTTCTCTGCCCAGGCCCTTCCCCATCCCAGGTCTACCCCGGAGCCTGCTAATCACCCACTGAAACTCCTAAAAGTGTGAGACAAAAGAAACCTCTCCTCTAAGTTTCGAGTGACTCAGCAACGAGGACAGCAGCTCCCTCAGAAGCAGAGCACGAACACAGTGCCTAAAAAATAAACCTGAAGCAATGTATTTTCTGGTATACACTGTTCTCACAACATCTAAGAAATATTTGAAAATCACATTCTCTCTATAAAGAAGCCTAAATCTAGTTCACAGGACCAAGCCGAAAACACTGCACTAAGGAGCCAAAGTCCTTAAAGGAGTCTGTGAGCTCCCCAAAACTATGGGCAAGATGTGGCACGGGGGAGACGTCTCTCTCAGGGGCAGGAAGACCTCACATTGCTAAGAATGTCTGGGTTTGCTAACTCGCAAACTAACAGGCTCCCTAAGACCCACAGGAGCGAGCTTAAGTCCCAGCGGGGTTTTCTCCGCCAACTCTCCCAGGTGCCCCGTTTGCTGCTCTTCCAGGCGGGTTTGTGTTCGCCGAGTGGCGTCAGCTGCTTACCAAGCGGGAGAAGCCCTGGCCACACGTGGGGCACTCGTGGACTGGCGGGCTGAAATCCAAAGCGTGATATTTCTTGACATGTGCGTCCAGAAGCGGCTTCTGTCGAAAGTGCCTGTGGCAGGCCGAGCAGGTGAAGGGCTTCTCTGTGGTGTGGGTGCGGACGTGGACAGCCAGGTGCCGCTCCTGCCGGGGAAGGGGAGGACACGGCTGGTCTGGTTAGGGGTGGTTTTTAGCATGAGCCATTATTTCCCCTAAGGTCCTTTTTCCTCACCCAAGGTGAGTGCGCTACTAAGCAAAACTAAGCAAACACGCTCCTCCAGAGCACTGGAAATCTCTCCCACGTGTGGGGACAGACGTGCCCGGTGCTGCAGTCAGGCTGCGAAGCTCTCGCAATTAACTGGACGCTGGCTCTCTGGACACTTGGGGGACAACCTCTAGGTGGGGGGAGGGTGACAGCAATCACTTGCAATTCGCCGAGCTTGCAAAGGGCTGACAGAACCTGCCAGCTTAAAAATCTAAGGGTTAGAACTGAAGCTCAGTGGACAGGTACGTCAGGAATCCCAGTATTCCCCCTTGTGCTTTCTCACAGAGTACGCGGGGCCTTATTTTGGAGTTGGTGAAATAACGGTGAAGATAATTTTTCTTAGCAAAGAAACAACCAACGTTTTGAAAAGCAGGATTTAAATAACTTGGGAAGCCAGGGCAACAAGAGATGCAAGATTTTTATTTAAAATGCCATAACTGCCGGGCTGTGGCTCAGTGGCATCACGCCTGCCTGGCAAGCACAAGGTCCTGAGTTTGAGCCCCGGTACTGGAAAAAATACAATAAAATAAATAAAATGCTAAATAAAATGCTGTGACTGGGCTAATGAAACGCATGGTCTTCTGCATTACCGCTAACAACTTAATTGGTGGCCCTTCCTGCAGCCCTTCCCTCCAATTCCTGGGGCTCGCTCTTCCCTCTCACACACACATTTCCAGTTCCCTCCTTGTCCCCTCCCTGCTCCCCACTGGGACCACAACCTGGGCCACTTGCCGGCTGCTCTCTGCCCTCCAAAAACCCAGTTCGTGGCCTCAGCCGGGTCCTGGCCTGGGACCTCATTCTGATGCTCCAAACCCACCTGGATCATCTTCAGTCAGAGCGTTTGCTACGTGAGCCCCACTGTGATACACAATAAGCTCCAGTCCCCGCCTTTGGGGACCAGGGATGAAGGGGCCACGAGAGCATCCAGCGCTGCAGGGCAACTCCAGAGTGCATCTGATTATGTGGGCGACAGGTATTTGTATTTAATGTGTTAGACTTTTAAACTGAGAAATCTAAAAATATCTTAAAGTAAAAAATGTATCAATACATTTAAAAATAAAGCGACGACATGTTAGCATCTTTCTGAAAGATGCAAGCAAGAAATCGAATGTGTCTCTCTGCAGTTAAAACGCAGGCTGCAACATCTGGGACATACATACATGCAAAACTACTCACTATTTGTCTGAAACTCAGATTTAACTGTGCTGGGTTTTCTTTACTAAATCTGACAACCCTATTACAAGAATCCAGAAGGAATCCTATCTCTGCTTCTACCCTCTTTCTGGTGGAGGACACTGAAGTATAGGAGGAAAATCTGGACTTACAGACATGCAGTTAAAAAAAGCAGCAGATTTTAATAGTTTTTCCCAGATGATTATGGCCATCGTTCTTTATATTACACTGAAACTCAACAGGTGGTCATGTCTTAAAAAATGGTTGCACTGCCGGGGATGTACCTCAGTGGCACCGCACCTGCCTGGCAAATGCAAAGTCCTGAGTTCGATCCCCAGTACCAAAAAAAAAAAAAAAATTGGTTGCCCTGTGGAATCTGAAACTAGGCCATTCAATTTTCTGTTCTCTGTTATGTGAAAATCTATTTGTCTGCCTGGTACTTTGGATGGATTTTTACCGAGGCACAGCTCTGTAACACCACAGACTGGCCATTTGGAAAATACCTGTAGTGGGCTATGGAGATTCTGGAAACGCTGACACACTTCATTACACCAATTAAAAACCCCAAGCTCATCAGAAAAGTCATTAAGAAGCCGAAAGCTGTAAAGCTCAGAGTGGTGAATATAATTTTTCCAAAAGTCCGATTGCCCCTCGAGAAATGAGAGCCTATCACTGGTCACACGTTTCCCTTGAAGGACAGGGCTGTGTCACTCGTGGGCAAGAAAACACCTCCCAGATGCCGCAGAGCTGCGTGGGCAGGGTGGGCCTGTGCCGCTCTCTGTGCTGAGGATGGCAGGGTGGGGAGGGACTTTTCCTCCTGAAGGCCCGCGGGCTTTGGAGGGCCCCCAGGTGCACGCAGGGTGTCATGGTTTGTCCCCCTAAAGCCTCCTGTGCTCAGAAGTGGGGCATTTGGGAGGTGACTGGGTCAGCACCGTGTGATATTGGCTGAGTCCATGCCATGCTGGGAGGGGAAGCCTGGGGGGGAGGGGGTCACTGTGGGAGTGGCCTGGAAGAGTAGAGACCCTTCCTGCCCCAAGCTCAGCTCTGCTTCCGGCCGCACACACTGCTTCTCCTCTGCCACCCCTGCCTTAGAGCCAGTGCGCGATGTACTGAAACCTCTACAAGCCGTGAGCTAAAACAGACCTTTCCTCCTCTAACTTGTGGGTGCTTGGCATTTTGTCCCAGCAAGGAGAAAGTAACTAAGACACAGGGTATTCAAAACAAAGTACTTAGGGCCAAGACTTAAGAATGCCAAGTTTCAGCATTTACCAAGAGCATTCTTAGAGGAAAGGGCCCTTGTTTTTGCTTTCGGTGCAGGAAGATGAAGACTGCCGTGGCCAGTAGTCACACTGGGTGGGCATCACTGCTTGTGGGTGTGTGTTATCGTGGCGATGGTTTGGCTGGTGAGAAACCCGCATGGGTCCTGAAGCTCTCAGGGTCTCTACATACTCCGCCACCTGCTGCCTTGAATGCTTGGGTCCCGGGTGCTCTGCACACACTGTTCCAGCAAAGCACGACCTCACCGGGGCATCCCGCTGCCCTCCCTTCCTCCCGAGACCCCACCTCTCCACCTCTGGAAGCAGCCAGGGCATGCACCTGCTTGCAGGAGTAGTTGCAGTGTTCGCACTTGAACCTCTTCTCATTCTTGTGCGTCTTCTGGTGCTGTATGAGGGCATAGCGCTCGTGGAAGGTGGCAGGGCAGTACCGGCACTGTATCTCTGTGCTTTGGTACGTGTGCAGGTTCCGAAGGTGCACACCTGAAATGGAACGGAGTGTCACGGGCGAGAAGGCCAGCTGGCTGCCAGGCAGGCCTCAATCCTGGCTTCTCAGCCTCTGCCATGTTCACACAGGGAGTCCTCCGGGTGGGGTGGGGAGCCCTGAGTGCTGAAGGACGTTCAGCAGCACCCCAGCCCCACCCACAGGGCACCAGCAGCACTCCCTGCCGGGGTGGCAGCACAAACGCCTCGGACCTTGCCCAGGGTCCCCCACGGGGAACCACGGAACCTCGTTTCAGACCCTCTATGTGTGGGGTTGAGGCTATGCTGGGCCAGTCACTTAACCCTGCACTTCGAGAAGCCGACCGTGGGGCAGGTGGAGTCTAGGCTGATGGGGGCTCCCAGAACAGAGATGTAAATGCTGCATCTGAGTCAGGAACTGCCCTGATGCTCCTCTGGGAGCCGGGCACTTCCTGCTCACACCCTAACATCTGGCAGCGCTGAGCAGGAGCTGGTGACCACTGCGTGACACCTTGTGGTCCCCACTCAGATGCCCCAGATCATAGTCTTGCCCAGAGTGAGGAAGACGACCAGGCGCCCTAACAGCCACTGCAGGGGCTCGGGAGGCTCGTCACCCCTCAGCACAGCAAACTGTCACTCTGCAGAGTCAGAACCCTCACAGCCTCTCTCGGCAACTGACTTGCAATCCTTGTGTCTACCAAGTCCCTGCGGGCGACTATTTCAAAAATATTTCAAAATGATTTGTCTCCTCTCTGGAATTTCTCAGGGCTGACTGGAGAATCCTCGTTTCCGCTAGTGTATTTTGAGTATCACGATGTGATACACTTCAAGAAAGGGAAAAGACCACCAAAGAGGGAGACCCAGGAACCCAGAAACAAATCCGTGAGGCTCCCTGGCTCCTCCTCTCCTCTCCTCACGGGAACCCTCCCTGTCCTGTGCTGTCCCCAAGTCCATCTTCAGGGGAACTGCGTCCTGGCTCCGGGTTGGACCCTCAGCCCCCAGCAGGGAATGGGAAGGGCTCACTGAGATGCCAGTGCCCAGGGCGGGCATCCACAAAGTGGGGCACAAAACCCAGCGGCTCCTAGCACCTCGGTCCTCTCAGGCAGGTCGCTCTGCTTCTGAGCCCCAGCATCCTCATCTGTGAGAACGGGCCCACTATGGACTAAGATAACATCCTGAAAGTACTTCTGAACTCAAATGTCCACGAGGTCTCACACGCATAGGGACAGGCCCGGCTGGGAGGCTGCACCTATGCAGCATGGCCACCAGATGGCGCCACAGGACCACTGCAAGAAAACTCCTTCCTGGCGCTGAGACCTGAGAGTGGCCGGCCTGGCAGCAACCGGCGGGCTCTGCAGGTTTGCCGCTGTGCCCAGAGTGCCACTGCGGAAGCCCACAGAGATGGTGGAGCCAGACACTCACGCAGGTCGCTCTTCCTTGCGATGACAGTGGCACACTGAGGACACTGGTACTTGGGCACATTCTCACTGTGCTTCTGGAGCATGTGCATCTTCATGGTCCCGCTCTGGGTAAACCGGGCATGGCAGATGTGGCACTCATATGGCTTCTCGCCTGTGCACAAAGGACAAAATGGTGCTCTGGAGCACGGCTCCCCCTCAAGCTCCACACCCACAGCTGGGAGCTTCGCCCCGGGCCACCTCTTTGTTGGAGGTTTATGCCCCCAACTGGCACGTGGCAGGCACCCCAGCCCAGCCAGACAGCAATGCCCCGCAGAGCTGGGTGCACACAATCCCCGGCGCTCCTTGGTGCTGGGTGTGCACAGCCCTTCCCCTTGGGGCCCCGGGGGGGTCAAGTGCACAAGCACACACTCCCTACACAGCTACAGCACACCTGTTATGCAATCAGCACACTGCTGTGTGCATGGAAGGAGGAGTTAAGAAGTGGGGTTTTCAATACCCGAGAACCCTGCACAGCCAGTTCTTCACGGCGGCCTGCCTGTCACTGTGGACACCGCACGGTATTTATGCCTTCCTGAGTGCTGACAAGGTGCAGAGCCAGAGCCCTGGTTCAAAAGGCACGTGAGAAACGACACTGTGTTCCTTCTGCCACTGAAGAAATTTCATCAGCTGGGATGCCTTCCAAAGCACAGGTGTCCTCGCTGGCCATGGTGGTAGGAGGCACTCACCTGAGTGGGTGAGCATGTGGCGCTTGAGCTTGTGGGTGTCCGTGCTGGCGTAGTTGCAGAGCAGGCACTGGAAGGGACGCTCACCCGTGTGTGAGAGGACGTGGCGCTTCAGCTTGCTGGCCTGGGTCAGATGGGGCACAGTTACTCTTGCGGGAACCTCACAGCAGCTTTACAAAAGACTTAAGTGAACCAGATTCTAACACTAGAGCTCGAGAACCGTTACTTTTTGTATTCTGCGGTGTGGATCTGCTTTTCATTGGATATGCGCAGGGCCCTCTGGAGAGGAAGCAACCCTGACATTCAACTTCGCTTTATGGAGGGAAGACTGAAACCTCGCTGTCCAAGGCCACATGCTTTTATATTTATGTCCAAGGCCACATACACCATGCGAGAACACAAAGGCCAGAACTGTTTTCCCATAAAGCAAAAATATCGAACCAGGAAAAATGCACTTCACCGCCACAAGCCCTGAGGACTCGGTGCCACAAGGACATGTGAGTGGCACAAGCTGTCCTTGCTGTGGGAGTTGACACCGCGAGTCAGGGGTTTCTGTACAAGAAGTAAGTTTTAAGTAGAAAAAAATCACTCTAATTTGGCCAATTACATACCCTGGGCAATTAGATAGCAAACAACACAAAGCAGCGAGTTTGACTGCCTTGGGCGCCCAGCCTGTTTGCTCACTGCAGCCCTTATCTGCCTCTAGCAGGAAACAGGGCATCAACACCTGGGAGCTGGGGTGTGCAGACGCCCCGGGTGGGCGCTCTGCTGTGATCTAGGGAAGGCCACCCCTATCTGCTCCCAGCACCCACAGCAGGCGCCGACCTACCTGAAGAATATTCAAGGCCAGAAGCCTCAGAATGGAACCAAGGGCCAGATTCTCAGAAGAAAAGCTTCTAAGGTCTAGAGAAAAGTCTTCAAATATTTTAGAAAGTAGAGCAATAAGCATTTTAAAAATGACATAGAAGGTGCTCAGTACGCTGTCGTCTTAACGCAGACCAGTGGACAAGATTTGGAAGCTGGGCTGGTGGGGGAGACAGCAGTGGCAGGGGACCTGGGGCCCAGCAGTCCCACCTGGGCTGCACCGGGCTCTGAGCCTCAATAGGCCCCGGCCTGGAAGCAGATCCTCAGAACTGTCTGCCACCACCCAGAGGTCTGCTCCCGCCTTAGGTCCAGGGGCGGCTTTGTTCTCTAAAGCCGCCACTTTGTGTCTCTGTGCTACCCAAACAACCATTCACTTAGAGGAGAGGTAGACTTTTAAAAACAACAATCACAGAAAAAAAACTTCCTGGACTCACACTGTGACCCGGTCTGTGAAATTCCCTACTTTATGAAATGGGTTGCGGCACTACTGTATTTTACCCTTAGTCACGGTGCCCTTTAGTTTAGTTCTGCTGGAGGGCAGCAGTTCTCTCTTCCCGACTGGGCTCACACCCAGGACCCGGCAGAACCCCTCAAACTGTGCCAGCTTTGGAAAGTAAACGTCACATGCTGCCTTTGATTCGTCCAGGGCGCTGCTAAACGTGTCCGCAGGCACAAAGCAGACAACCAAGCGGAGATGACCAAGGCACATAACTGAAGTTTGGAAAGTGTGGTCTCTCTACAGCTAAGGGTAGGCATGGGGCTGTGGTGCAGTGGCAGGGTGACAGTCTAGCAAATCCCTGGGTTAGATCCCCAGCACTGATTAAAAACAAAAAAGGCCGGAAATGGCTATCAGGATGCTTTGTGTCTGACCACGGGCCACTGACACAGGCTCAAAAATTTTGGCAAAAATTCCTATCTGATCTGTGTCCTATGTTACAGCAAATCCATTTCAATTTTGTGGCACTGAGTTTGACACAAAATACTAGACAGACTGCTACGGTTTGTGTCTAGATGTCCCCCAAAGCCTCAGGTGGTCATAGGTGGGGCTTTTTCAAAGGTGGCTGGTTCTAGAGTGTGCGACTAATTCCTGGTGCAATGCTAGGATTAAGGGTGGGTGATTACTAAATCGGTCCACTGATTGGTTTGGCACCGCCCCAATCCCGAGAGCCTGGATACAATGTAAGGGACAGAAAGAGACGTCTTGTCCCTTGCTTGCTTTGCTGCCTTCTGCCCACCATGGACTGTTTCTCCTCTGCAATGCCATGCTGCCATGCCACCTGCCTTGGAGCCAGCTGGGTATGGACTGAAATCTCTACAGACTGTGAGCCAAATAAACCTTTCCTCCCTTAACTTTGGATGTCAGGTATTTTGTCTCAGCAACAAGAAAAAGTAACTAAGACACAGCCCTTCTCATCATATCCTAGAATTACTTCTTGACCACAAGTAATTTTATCTGTAATCTGTTCACCTTTAAACATTATTTTCACTAATCAGTAATCAAAGGAAAAAAGAAATATAATTTTCTCTTTGAAATCTGGAAGCAGAACCTATGTTACGATGGGTTCTCCCAGCAGTGTAACCCTGACAGGAAGGTCTTACGTGGCTGTCAGGACTTGCAGGGCGCGGCTGACTTACTTCCACACTCTCATACTTGCACATGGAGCATTTGAATGGCTTCTCGTGAGTGTGCTTGTAGCGCCTGTGCCGGACAAGCTCTCCACTGGTGACAAATGCCATGTCGCAGTCCACACACTTATATGGTCTCGTTCCTGTAAAATCACATGGTTTATACTTTGGATTTTCTTTTTGCATGTGTGTGGTGCTGGAGGTAGAACCGAGGGCCTCACCAGTGCTAGGTCCGTTCTTTACCACCGAGCTACATCCCCAGCCTGATTTATACTTTTAAGACAAGATTTAACCATTTCCAAGGATTTTATAACATAATTTATACTCGGTCTCAAAATGCTTTAAAATGAAGCAGCTCAGTAAACTGTAAGTACCACGAACATATGTAAGACAGATTTTTTGCAATATTCAATGCTTTTCACTGAAATTTCAGAAAAAAAGGAAAAATTGAAAGTATAAAACAGGGCCAGGGATTTAGCTCAGTGGTTCCACCACCTGCCTGGCAAGCACAAGGACCAGAGTTCGATCCCTGGCACCTAAAATAAAATAAAGTATAAAACAATCCATGCCAGTCAGGAAGCACCTCTTCCTGCTGGAGGATACATCCAAGGTGCTCTCTGGATGCCTGGACCCACGGTGCCCACTGCACCTGTGTACGCACATATGTCCCTACACATATGTACCTGTGATCAAGTTTAATTTATGAATTAGAGACTAACACAAAACAACTAACAACAACTGACAATTATGATTGTTGAGACTGACAACCATTAAGAGATGAACAACAGCTAGAAATAAAACAGAACAATTCTAACAATGTACCGTGACAGAAATTATTTAAATCTTTAAGAGTTGTTCATTTCCGCAGTTTCCCATGGGATCTGCTCAGACCACGGGTGTGCACAGGTAACTGAAGTCACAGAAAGCGAAACTTCAGGCGGGAAGTACAACTGGGTTTTAATGCAGAAGGAGGCGCATGGCCGCCTCACCTGTGTGGGTGTTGATGTGGTTCCGGAGGAGCGTGCTGGTGCGGAAAGTCTTCAGGCAAAGGTGGCACGTGTGGGGCTTCTCGCTGGTGTGAATTTTCATATGGCGATTAAAGCTTGAGATTCTAGAAGACGTGAACAAGCAGAGGTTGCACTGGAAGGTTTGTTTCTTTCCTACAGGAAGAAGAGACAATCTTTATGAGCAGAAATCATCCTTTTGCAGTTCAAGTTCTATTTCAGGACAGTAGAGGAACTGGCATCCTTTTAGGGCCCAATGTGGTGCCTCAGGAGCAGAATGCTCCACTGTGTTCACAAGCAGATTACCCGATTCAGGACACGGTGAAGCAGGGGGAAGAGGTGAGAGGCGAGCCTACTTTGGCTCTTTCTGAGGGGAAGAATGCCTTCTCCACTCAGGCAGGGACTTTGAGGAAAACCACCATCTGGAATGGTGCTATCCAAACCCAGAGCCAGGGCCAGGGTGGTCTCAGTGCCAGGACATTGCCTAGCAAGCACAAAACCCTCAGTTTGATTTCCATCACTTGAGGAAAAAAGTAGTTGATAGCGCTATGTGACTATCTAAATTTGGGTTTGAAATGATTACAATTTTTAAAAATTAAGAATATAGTTTCTTTGTTGGAAGCTACATTGCAACTGCTCCAAAGCCATATATGGCTGGTAGTTACTGTTCTCGACATTGTGAACACTGAACATTTCTTCACCACCAGAAATTCTATTGGACAGTGCCAGGCCAGCAGGCGCAGAGGTGAAAACATCTCCCTTGTGACAATGGCTGCAAAGAAGGAATGTGGCATCCATTCACCTTTCCTAACAAAATCTACAGGGGGTCTAGTCAAGGCAGTTTTGACCATCACTGATTGGCAGAAATTAATATTCTCCATCCCTCGGACAACTCAGTTTCACCCCACACTTCAAAGAATCCCCATAGATACCACGAAAAAAAAAAGAGCTCAGAGTGAATAAGCAAGATGTTAAAGGAAGAACCAGCAAAAAAAAAAAAGGACTCAGAACCACAAACTTCGGATGTCAGAATTATTAAATGCAGACTATAGCTGTGCTGTTTATCAAAATAGTAAAGAATTCCAAAAAGCCATCCTTCCATAAAAACAATGAAAAAACTGGCAAAAACTGTCAGAATCAAGTTTTGGGGAACACTGAAAACTAATCAAAAGCTTGGAGGAACCAGAGGAACACTTAAAAAAATCTGGCTGATTCCCAGTACACAGGGAGCTTTATGGCGTTTTAATATATTCTGGCTCCATTCCGCATTACCTAGCTCAGTGGTATCCTTGAAAATAACAGCTCAAATGCACAATACCAACACCAGAGAGAGTGGAATGGAACTCATTCACAAAAATCAATTATGTTTGGTAACCTGAGAGGTGGCTCACTGCAAGGACAATACAAAGGCTTCACCTTCATCTATCTTGCTTAGCCTGGCATTCACCCAGTACAAAAAAGACTATCTGGGGTGAAAGGGGATATTTTTGGAAATCATTTGTAAGTAATGGCTAACAAGGGGAACAGACAACAAAAAGCTTTGAGGGAAAGGCTGAGGAGTAGTGTGCATGTTCCAAAGGGCTCCAACACACTCCTGGGAATATAGAAGGCCATGCACAAGCCCAGGGCTTAGCAACCACAGGAGATGTCTTCATGTGCTCACCTCTGGCTGACTTTGAGGCTCCCAGGAATCAGGAAATGAAGGCTAAGGCAGAGCTGCCAACTGCCTGGATGAGCACTGGGAGCCCAGGCCCAACAAACACACAGAGCTCCTCAGCCAGAGCAGAAGAGACTTTTTTGATTTCAGGTGTTGAAAGATATTTTTGTCCAATCACTAGCAGGGATTTCAGTGGCCACACTAAGTAAAGAATGTAGACTTTACAAAGTTAGTTCAGAAAATTTACCAACCAAACAACAAACACAGCAAGCAGCAACAACCAAATGGGAGAGGAAGAAGAATCTGATTCACCAAGAGTCACTCCAGTACAAGGTTCCAAGTGTCCAGTTTTCAGTAACAAACAAATAAACAAACAAACAACAAAACAAGCCATGCCCAGAAACAAGAAAATACAGTGACCCATACCTGGAAAAAAGTTCAAAGAAATTGTACCTGAGAGTCCAGACACTGGATGTATATACCAAAGATTTTAAATACATTCAAAGGCCAAAGTAAACTAAAAAAACATCAAAATGATGCTTCAACATTTAAAAATGGAAATTCTGGACTTGAAAAGTCTAGTAACTGAAATTAAAATTCACTAAAAGGGATCAATGGAGATCTTGCAGAAAGAATAAAGTAAATTTGAATATAATTCAATGAAGATTGTTTAGTTTGAAGACTGGAAAGAAAAAATAATCAAGGAAAATAAGCACAGCCTAAGACACCTGCTCAGCATCACCAATGTATGACATATATGACACATGTGCAATGAGAGCCCCAGAAGGGAAGTGTGGTAGAGAAGTGTATCTGGAGAAGTAACTGCCCAAAACATGCTTAAGATGATTAAAAAACCATCTGTACCCCAAAAAGCTTGATGAATTATAAGTAGGGTAAACTTAAAGAGATCTGCGTCAAAACACATCATAATCAAACCACAAAGTGTCAGAGAGAGAATCTTGAGAGCAGCAGAAAGAAGAGATCCATCATCATACACACAGGAGACTGATGGCTGACTCATCCCAGAAAACCAGAGGCCAGAGGGCTGTGGAATGCCACATTCAAAATGCTGAAAGGAAAAAAAATATGTTAAGTAAGAACTCTGAATTAGGCAAAACTGTCCTTTGAAAATGAGGAAAAAATTAAGACATTCGAAGACAAATAAAAACTGAACAAGTCTCTCATTGGCAGACTTGTGCTGTGAAAAATACTAAAGAGACTCATACAGGCTAAAATGAAAGGACACTAGTTAGTGGCTCAAATCCACAGGAAAAATAAAGAACGATAAAGGTAACTATATGGGTAAATAGAAAGCATTCATACATTTACTTGTAACTCATTCTTCCTATTTAATTTAAAAGACAACAGCATAAAGTACTACTTATAAATTTATGCTCATGGGTACAGAATGTATAAAAATTACTCTGGCAGTAACAACAGAAAGGGGGTAGGGAGTGAAATTATATAGGAACCAAAAATTTTAAATATTCTATTGAAAGTACATTGGCATCAATCTGAACTAGAATGTTATAAATTGAGACATTAGATGCAACTCCAAAGGCAACCAAACATATAACTCAAAAACATATATTTAAATAAATAACACACCAGAGAAAAGTTACTTAACATGAAGTAAAGTGGTAATGAAAGAACTAAGGAATTAAAAAAGACATGACACTTAAAAAATAAACAGAAAAACAGGGAAGTAAGTCCTTCCTTATTAGAAGTGGATTAAACTCTCCAATTAAGCAAAGCTTTTTTATTTTTCCAGTACTGGGGATCAAATTCAGGACCTTGTGCTTGTCAGGCAGGCGCAGCACCACTGAGCTAAATCGCTGGCCCCTAAATTCTCCAATTAAAAGGCAGAGATTTTTCAGAAAAGACGAAACACGATCCACCTATTTGCCTTCTACAAGACCTATTTTACTTTTTTTCTTTTTTTTTTTTTTTTTTGGTACCGGGGATCGAACTCAGGCCCTTATGCTTGTGCAGCAGGCGGCAAAACCACCGAACTAAATCCCCGGCCCTATGAGACCTATTTTAGATTCAAACACAAATGGGATGAAAGTAAACAGGTGTAAAAATAAATTCTATGGAAAAAGAGTCACCAAAGAAAGGCTTCAGTGGCTATATAGTGGTACCTTGGTTCATGAACTTAATTCTTTCCATGGTTCTGGTTGCAAAACAAATTGGATGAGAACTGAATTGAATTTCTCCAGTTCTTATCTAATTCAGTTTGGGACCAGAATTGTGTAAAGAATTAAGTTCGTGAACTAAGGCACACTGTACTACTATCAGACAATACAGACTTCAAGACAAAAACTGTTACAAAAGACAAAAAAAGTATTATATAATGATAAAAAGGTCCATCTATCATAGCTAAAACAATTATAAACATACATGCACTTAACAACACAGCTCCAAAAGACCTAAAGCAAAAACTGACATAATTGAAGATTGGAAGAGATAAGTCAATAATACTTGGAGACTTCAATACTCCACTTTAAACATTTCAGACACCTAGATAGAAGATCAGAATGGAGACGGAACACTTCAACACCCACCACCATAAGCTACACAGACATAACAGATTATCTATTGAACATGCCCCTAACAACATAACATTCTTCACAGGTTCATATGGAAGATTCTCTAAGACAGAACACGTTAGACCACAAAACAAGTATTGTTAAAAGGCAGAAATCACATAAAGTATGTTTTCTGACCATAATGGGATGAAATTAGAAACCAATACCAAAGGAAATTTGGAAAAATATGTGGAAGTTAAATAATATACTCTCAAATGACCAATGGGTCAAAGAAGAAATCACAAGAAAACTATGAAATAATCGGAGATGAATGGAAATGAAAACATAGACCATCAAAAGTTATGCAATGACCTATAGCAGTACTCAGAGGGACATTTTCAGTTGTAAATATGTACATTAAAAAAGTAATATTTAAGATTAATAACCTAACTTTACACTTTGATGAACTAGAAAAGAGAAATAAATCTAAATCCAAACTAGTAGAAGGAAAGAAATAATAAAAATTAGGATGGAGATAGAGAATTGAAAAAATTAAAAAATGAGTCATAACTTGAAATAACTGATGCTCGTATAGTAAGAGGAAAAGGGACAACAAAGGCACCATGGTGTGCGGAATCTATAAACCAGGAGGCCACAAGTTCAGCCTCCTATTCAAGCCAAGAAACCTAGACGAATGTCTCTGAACATATGTGAAAGAATGGGGCAAGACAGTACTTTCCCTTTCAAAATGGTGTCACCTCCCAACCCAGGCACCCACTGCCACGAGGAAGGGAGTAATGTGAGTGTTGCCAAATAGGATTTTTAAACATCAAGCCTGAAATTGAGATATTGGGGGTGTAATCACTGAAGTGAGAAATTTTTTTTAAAGAAGCCAAACAAATAATTTTTGAGGATCAAATTCATCCTGTAGGCTCCTGGAATGAAATCTGTTTTCATAAAGCCTTAATAGCTCTTCAGAATACTCCCCTCAAAGCAGGTCCCACTCACCTCTGAGCACCCACTCACAGGCCTCTCCCAACGCAAAGCTGTCCAGACCCACATATGACACACACTCCCCAAACCACAGCACAAATCATTTCCTGTTGCTGCACCCATAACCTCCACTCTTAGGGCTTCCTAGTCCTCCTTCCTGGCCTCCAACCCTCTTGCAAAAAAGATCCTAGGATCCTCTGTCCAGGCTCTGAAGTCCTTGCTTGTGCCTCTATGAGGTGGGCTCATCTCTCATCCTCAAGTTACTTACACTCTTCAAATGCTCCCCTGAGAAGACAAACCAGACCGTGAAGCCCAAGACTTGGCCTGCTCTTTTTATATGTGCACAACACCTCATGGTACATTTTGACTGAGCTTTTTAAACTATTTGTGTGCAGAAAGCAAAACCCTTTTGGACCTGATTCACAACACAGAACAGTAGTTCAAATTTTCTCCCATTTCCTGAGGTTTTGAAAGCAACTAAAAGTCAACTACATAAAACTTCAATTAATACTGCTCTCCCACAAAGAAAAACAAGAGCCTGTTCTATGCAGCTTCTTAGGCAAGGTGGACTGGCCTACCCTTTGTTTTCCTTTGACTTTTTATAAAGCTGGGTTTTTCAATATTTGCTTGACCTAGTGCAGACTTTTCTTTCTGTTCTTCCACGCTTAAAGTGGCAATGGTCAAAATAATTTCGTCTCTTCCTTCATCTCCAGGCCTCGCTTCCACAAGAAAGAACTGCCCTTCTGCTCTTTGAGCCCCTCCTCCTTCAGCCACCAGCTGGTCCTCCTCCTGACCTTTCTCGAGCTGAAAAACAAAAATGAACATTCAAGCAGACACAACAGTATTAATTACAATGTGATTAAACTTTTTGCTTTGAACTTTAGAGTGCATAAATAAAAGCAAAACTTAAAAGACCATGCATTGCAATCAAAATGCTTAAACCATAATTATTTAGGGTTTTGGTGGTGAAATTTAACTTAAAATAAATACGATGCACTTTAGGGAATTCAAGTTAGCATAGCTTTTACAACTCTCAAAAAATACAAGGTCCCTTAGGATTTTTCTGGGGAGTTTTCTTTTTACAGTGTTTAATTTTAAACTGTAAAACTGCTTATTCATATATTATACTGCACAAAGGTAGAGTTTAAAAAAAGAATTTTATTTCGTGTGTGTGTGTGTGTGTGTGTGTGTGTGTGTGTGTGTGTGTTTGTAAGGGGCAGTGGGCTCCAACCAGCTGTACTTTAGTCAATTCTGAGCTTTCCCATAGGCTTGCCGCTGGCTCAGGGTCTTCCTTGACCACGGCCAACCTCTCCTCCAGCAGATGAAATTTCATCACCTCCAGCTCCTGCAGCGGGGACAGCTCCTCCTGGACACCGATGGCCATGCACTGCTGCACGCTCTGCTGGGAGTCCCCACTCAGCCACAGTAGCGACGGCAGCGCAGCCCCGGCCTCCTGCACCTCCACCTGCACCTCCTGCACATGCTCTGTGTCCAGCCAGCCCGTGTTCAGCAGCCCCAGCTCTCCCGAAGCCAAGTGCACGGTCTGCAGGGTCAGGATGTGATTGTCACCCTCGACCGGGGTTGCCACCAGTTCCAGCTCCAGCTCCCCTTCCAGCAGCAGGCCCTGCAGCGGCCCCTGGCTGCCCGTGGCCTCAGGCGCGCCAGCAGTCTGCAGGTCGTGCGCTTTCGGGACCCTGTCTGCTTCCTCCAGCTCCTTCTCTTGTGTTGCCTTTAGCTCTTTGATTCCGGTGAACTGCACATTAGAGAGGACGGAGAGCTCGGGGGCTGCCATGGTGATGTGGCCTAATGGAGAGAAGCAAACGGTCTTGCAGGGCGATGCGGGGAAGGGGCTGCCGGGCTTCTATGGCCGCCCATGCTAGGACAAGGGACTGGCCTCGAAAGGCTCTGGGCCCTGGAGGCACAGACTGTACAGCCCAGGCCTCGGCTATGCAGACTGAGGCTGCAGCAGGCCGCTGCCCAGGATTCTAGAAGGCGCAGATTTGGCCCAAGCACACGGCATGCTAGTGGTTCTGGGCCTGAGCACTCTCCGGCTGCCGCACACCGCGTCCTGGGCGGTTTTCCATCGTGCACGAGTCTAGGCCCAGCACCGTGAGGGAACGCACACTTGGGCCTGGTGGCCTGCACCACACCCACACGCAACCCTGCTGAGGCTCCCCCACGCGCTTTGCTGCTGCCTCCCCCTCCCCGGGCTGCTCCCCCATCCGCCTACGTGCAGAAGGTGGCTAAGCAGGTGGGGTAGCCGCCAGTCCACCCCCCCACCCCCGGGTGCAACCTCACCGCTGGAGGCGAGGCCTTGTGCCCACCCACGCGTCCCCCGTGGGCTCCGCCTCAGCACCTCATGCTGCAGCCGCTGCTGCTTCCACCGCAAAAGTGAGCACAGTGCGCAGGCGCAGGGCGAGAAATAGGGCGGGGCTGGAAGAGGAGGAAGGAGAGTGGGGTTTGGGAGAGAAGCGGGGGATGAGGGAGAAGAAGGTGGGGTGGTGTAGGAGAGTGGCAGTGGGAGAGAGGAAAAGTTGGGGGAGACGTAAGGGGAGGTGTAGAGGGGTCCTGAAGGGGAAACAGTCCCTGAGGAATGATGGGGGGGGGGAGTGCGGAGCCCTGTAGGGGGCGCTGAGAGTCCGAGGGGGGGCGGTGATGGGCAGGGAGGGGAGTGGGGCCTGTAGGGGGCGCTGAGAGTCAGGGAAGCTGAATGAGGACCCGAAGAGGGCATGGTAGGCAGCGAGGCGATCTGGGAGACGAGCGACGTGCAGGGACAGGGAGAAGCTGGGAGGGCTGCTGTAGGAGCCGGAGGCCTGAGCAGAGCTGGCTGGGGGCGTGGGATGTGGACCGAGGGGTGCGGTGAGTGATGCTGGACTCTCAGAGGAGGGGAGCAGTAGGGGCGCGGACAGGCGGCCTAGAAGGCCGGTGGGGTGGGGTGTTGAGGGGAGACAGGCAGAGAGGAGGTGGGGAGGACCCCGAGAGGAAGGAGGCCAGAGGCGGTGCGGGTTAGGGCTGCACCTCCTGCGCAGCTGCCCCACTCTTTGAATTCTGGGAATCTCTTCCCAGAAACCTCTCCTTTAGGAGGTGGGTGGTCGTGTGAAGGAGCGAGAAAAAAGAGGCATGAGGAAGAGTTGGAGACAAGGGCTGGGCATTCATCAGGGGAATGACCGGCCTGTCCTCTGATACCCCGTGCCGCTTCGGAGGGCCGGGGTGTGCCCAGTGGCCGGACGCTTGCCCAGCGTGCCCCAAGCCCCGAGTTCCACCCCCAGCACCGAAAAATAGTGCATTTTATGTGTGCTTCACCTCAATAAATGGAAATTAATCACTTTGGTTGTCTTCAGAAAAATCTCCAACTGGATTTTTAAAAAAATACAAGTTTGGATCCAGCCAATAAATACATAATTTTCAGTTCACTGAGTCTTTTGAAAGTAGGGTTTATAACATTCCAGATTTACGACATTTCAAAAATTTAATGGAATTTTTGTTTGGTGATTGTGAATAGCCGGATTTGAATGCTGGGGGGAAAAAAACTAAAACGGAAAGAGCAGAATTTGGGAGAAGAGGCTTCCAAAAGGCCTGAGCAGTAAGTGACCTCTGGTAAGAGACAGCTACTTGACCTTTCTTTAGCAAAACTGATATTCCAACAAGCAGAGTCGCGCGTCCTGCTATTGTGGCCCGTTCTCCACAACGCTTCTCAGAGTTCTTTGTATCTAATTTGTTCGTGGTACATACTCGAATGTTTTTTTCATTTTCAGTAGTACAAAAGATAGAACTGAATTCAGTTTTCAGAGAAACTCATGTACTAGCAGCAGTGCGTTTGTGTTAGATTCCTGGATCGCTAGTTTTAATGTCGTGTCTGGGTTTCTATTAGAGTATATGTGCTATACAGAAACGGTAAATATTTGAAGGTCACTGGGAAAAGAGTGGTATAATAATTTATTTAAAATCATTTAAATGAGTTTTTCTGCTTGAACAATCCTCCGCTATTTAGTGCCTTTTGGGGGTAGTTTTGCATTATTACTGCAACACTCGTATAGCCAGAAGGTTTTTTTTTTTTTTCAGTATTTGTATTATAGATTCATTTTAGAAGTTTCAAAAACTAATCCAAAATACATTTTTACAAAAAGAGATATAAGGCCAATGAGAGGAGGGATATGGAAAGGGGAAATTAAGTTATACTTGGAGAGGAAAAGCAAGGATTTAGGTGAAGGAGGGAACTGGTGAAGGGAGGAGGGACAGCCAGGGAGAGATCTGCAGGGAGAGAGGGGAAGCAGAGAGACAGAAGGGGTCTGAACTGGGCCCCCCCCCCGCCTCCCTCCCTCGCCCTCCTGTGTTCTGGGTAGGATAATATTTGGGGGGAGGCAGGTAGCTCAGTAAAGAGATCCTGGATTCCCTGCTAATGCCCTGTGGTGATCAGGAGACTGTTTAGCAAAATAAGAGAAGTAATCTTCTGTGTACCCCAAGCTCAGGGCATTTTTACCAGTTAAACTTTGTGCTGTTTAAGGGATGGAGGTAAATGGCAAGGTGAGTCTGGCATTGAGTCTACAAGGAGGAAGAGGACAATGAACCCATAGGTCATGCCCTCTGTGTCAAGGTCTAAACCCTTGGGCTGAAGCCAGGCCCTCCTTGCTCTCTCTGTGCTCCTTCCAACTGTGTCTCCTCCCACATCATGTCCCCATCCCGATGACCTCCCCAGTGACTTCAGTGGCAGTATACAAGTGACAAATACAAAACCCTTTTGAGGCAAAATGTTATATAGGGCAGCAGTAAATGCAACAGGCTGGTAAGATGTTGTGGTCTTTAAAAAACATTCCTATCCTGCTCACTGCTTCCAAAGTAAATGTGAAGAGGCTTACCACTTAATTCCCCCCTGGCCTCCTAACTTGAGTGTAAAATCTTTACAGGGTACTCAGTAAGCACTTAAGTGCTTGAGATCATCCCCCAAGTGAAGTACCCCAAGTGAAAAAGGAGTACAGTAATGAAATATGAGTGAAGGCTGGAATTATCATAAAGTATGGGCAGGAAGAGGTCTTTGGGCCCAGCATGCTAAGCACCTGATACTAGTTACCTCTCAACTGTTCCAGAAAGTTCTGAGAAATAAATGGAGAGGCTGAGGTGGAAGGAACTAGAATTCAGAGTATCCTTGTCTTAAATGCTGGATACTTTGTTACATGTTTCTTGTTTAATATCTACATATGTTTTAATATATAATTATAGTAATATAATAATTAACATGTGGAAATAATTTGCAGATGATGTACATATCTGTTTCCCGTCCATGTCATGTGTGGTGTGTGGGACCAGAAGGCTGTCCATAGGCAGGGACCTTTAGTTCTGTGATGATATCCAGAGGCCCTACTGTCCAGTCCCCAGACAGGGCCTTCACAGCTGTTCCCCAAACAATGCTGGGCCTCACTAGCTCTTGGCTACTCTCCTTTTCTGCGTCATTAGCGTGACAGAAGAATGCAGCTGATTTTGTAGTGAAGTCTTTTGTAAAGTTTCATGAGTTTATGTGAACAGTTTAATGATATCTCTGATCTCTTCATTTTAAGAAACTTTTCAGGAGCTTTTAACTCCATTTATCAGTGTTTGTTCACTCCAGGAGATACTTAGAGTCAAGCTGATGTTTACACTGTTGTGAGGAAATAGGTGCCCAGAAGGCCTTTCTGAAGTGAAGTCTGGCACCTAGCACTCCCAGCTTTGAACACTGTCATTTCCCAAGATTAATGAGGGACATGCTTTAAGGAAAAGAGAACTTAACACAGGAAGCTGAGCCGGTCCCAGCACCTGGAGGGTAGCTGCCTTGCTGCCATCCCAAGCACCTAGGGCAGAGAAGCTGAGCTGGTCTCAGCACCTGGAAGGAAGCTCCCCCACTGCCAT